ATTGTAGTTCTACCCAAATATTTAAAAATTATCTATGATAGATAAATAAGTCACACTTAAAATATATATTTTTAAAGAAAGTTAGGTTCAAACCAAGTAAATTATAATAAAATATAGTATAACCTAATTTATTTTCATCTTTAATACTAATCGTAGATATAAAAAACTTGTAATAAATAATTATAATATATATTTATACCTTTAAAAGATATATAAAACTTTTAATACTACAAATATATATAAGAAATTAAAAATAAGAAATTAAAAATAAGAAATTAAAAAAAAATTAAAAATATAAATTAAAAATAAGATTTTCGACGGAAAATTCCGTCGAAAATTTTTCGGCAGAAATTTCCGACAGATTTATTTTTCTGTCGGAAATTTCTGACGGAATTTTCCGTCAGAAAGTTTCTGTTGGAAATTTCTGACGGATTTATATTTCCGTCAAAAATTTCCGACGAAAATATAAATCCGTCGGAAATTTCCGACGGATCCATATCCATCGGAAATTTTTCGTCGGAAATTTACATTTTTCTTGTAGTGAATAAAAGGCTCATTAATAGTTTGACTCGCGGGAAAAAAGTATGAGAGGATCTTTATCAATAATTTTACTTATATACATTCTTATTCATATTTATTTGTCTAAATTCTTATCAAATTTATTATATTTTATAAACTGTTTATTAATTTTTTATATGAATTAAAATCTTTTAACTATTTTTAATTTTTAGTAAAATAAAATACTTTGGGCTACATTTTTTTGTTGTTGCAAAATTAAGAAATTGATGTTTAAAATAAATAAAGTGTTTTTATGAGAACAACAACATTTGGTTGACTAAGCATGAAAGAAACATTTAGTATGCATTAAAAAAATAGTGAGAATTGTAAGAAGGCTGTGGCAATAATGAAAATTTAATTTGAGAGACAATTTGTGTGTGTGAACATTTTACTAATTTTTAGAATAGTGGATTTAAGTCTATCTCTCAATACACCCCTCACGTCCTTTTTTAATGATCTAAGATTGGCGGGACTTGAATACACCCCCCTCATGCCCATAGTGCATGTATCAATGAATGGTAGGTGATCCATTTTTAAGAATCTAAAATAGATATGATACCATCTTAGAATAGTGGATTCAAGTCTAACTCAACCCTACAAAACTGGCTTGTAAGATGAGGGTTGTTTTCCACTTATATACTATTAAATTGCCTAATCTCTATTTGATGTAGGACTTGAGTATTTTCCAATACACCCCCTCATGTCCACCATAATTCATTAATATATAAGTGTGAAATTGTAAAATATGATATTTGAAGCGATGGCCTTGGATGATTTTCTTGTAGTTCCAATTTCCAAAGGCCTAACAGATTTAAGTTAGATTATAGAAAAGAGACCTAACAAAATAGGCCTATTGTGAAGCTGAAAAAGTAGAACATCCAAACATGTCGTGACATTTGCGTTATTCCCCTCATGTATGACATGTGTTGTGTTCTGCATAAAAAGTCTGCTTCACCTTCAGGGTTGGGACTTGTTCGAAGGTTTCCCTTACACTTCATTTTTCTCTATTTTGCATAGCTTTGGATGTTCTTTTTTGTTTTGGTTGAAAGCTAAGGATTTTTTTTTAAAAAGTAAATATTATTATATTAGCTTTTAAAATTAATAGATATGTCTTTAAAATGTTAAATAAAATTTTAAATTTAACTATATACATATATAATTATTAAAATAATTTAGTTTTAGTGTTTCGTAATTGTATTTCACTTGCAGCGTTTTTATTGGCTGGATCCCACACTTCAACCATCCTTGAGACTCCACTATCTCTTAAATGGCATGGATTAGGGTAGGCTACTTTTTCTTATTCTTTCTCCTTAAAATACTTTTCCCCTACCTCGCATTTCTCACATTTACTTCATGAAGTAAATTAAAGTAAAATACACTCACATTTTTTTTAAGTTTCATGAAATTGCATCGATTTTTTTGCTTTTTAACATTTCACAATATAATATTTCAACTAGTTAAGGGAATTACGTAATATTAAAAAATATTAGTGTAACATTTTAAAATAATTAAAAGAAGTTACTATGAAAATAAAAAGTGTTTATACAATTTTACAAAATCCAGTAAATAATAAATTAGTTAAAAATATATATACCTTGACTCTACTCAACACCAAATAACTCGAAAACCTGTTACCCTGGCCTGTGCTAGTGTTAGGCTTTGGACATTCATTGTTCAAAAATAAAAATCCCAAACACCCAACAATTTACAAAGAATCAACCTTCGTTTTCCCAAGTTCCAACCCCTACGATGAAGATAAGATTCCTTGCTTTGTTCCTACTCATTTTAGGTATTCAAGCAATATCAACCTCAGAGTTCAATAACAACTTCACTTCAGAAGGTAATAGCACTGGCCAACCACACAAACTTCTTGGTACGTTACTTCTTATAGACATCCTTTATTTCACTTTCACTTTTATTCTAATGTTGTTCAGTGATAGGTAAATTATATGGAAACATAGAAGGCTCAATCACGTTGAAAGACAAAGTTGAGGAAACTAAAAAAGGGTACAAAGAAGAAGGACTTAATATTTCAAGAAAAGCACAAGGTGGAAGCTCAGGTGGCGGAGGAAAGAAAGGAAGGTCAGGTGGGGGTGGTAGTGCAGATGTGAATCGCCGGCCACGTCGAAGTTCTGCTCCATCAGAGCCTCATTTTTGGATCTCAAGATTTAATAATCTATGTGTAAGCTTGGCTTTAGTCATCTTCTTTCCCTTCCACCAGCTCTGATGCAATGTAATCCATGAGGCAAAAGCATCACCGTGTGTTATACAGTCTTGACTAATTTTTATGTGACATGCAGTTGTGTTAAATAACATTTCACGAATCACTAGTAGCGGTGAGATTGAAGTAATATGTACGAATTTAGTGTGAAAATTAGTTGCCTTATTGAGAACGTGATTGCTTGTAGATCAGTTTGTGTCCTCCCTTTGAATGATCATGTCATATGTTGTCATCCATCATGTCATTTAATAAAAATGTAATATGAATGAATGTTTGAATCTTTGCCTGTTAGTTGGGACTTGGGAAGGGGGTTGTAAAACATTGTCTTTATAATTTAATATATGCAATTGCTTCACGAAGAAAAAATGAGAAGGTTGAACTTGGGGGTTGAAATTTGGTTGGTACTGATAAGTGATAACGGAGGAGCAGAAATGGAACTAATTTTACTTTCTTAAGGAATAATAAATTATTAATATCGTCAATCTGAATCATCATATTATGAATTCCAGAAGCTGAATTAAAAGTCTAGATTCAGAAGCCAATCAAATAGTTTTATAAAACCAAAAATAAAAACGGCTTTGATTATCATTCTTTTTCACTAAATTGAAAATGACAGCCAAATGATGTACTTACTCTCCAACCCTTTCACCAATAATCTACCAATTTATTTCAAAATTGAATCTTGTAATCTACTTATGGAAATTGCAGAACTCATGAATAATGAAGAGATTACTCATACTTAATTACCCTGTCGGTCTTGCACAACGGTTTAAAACAGAAGATAATATATAACACTATTAATAAGATAATTTGTTAATGAAACAACAAATATAAAGGAGGGGAAGGGGAAACTTTTAATATTGCTGAAAGAATAAGGAATTAAAAGGGATAGAATAAACCAAATTTTATGTACATCCCTCTAACTTCTATTCGATTTATTTTGCAAAGATATTAGGTTTAGCGATCTTCATTTTATTATAACAGCATTTTGTTTTCTGAACCAAACAGGTAATATTCTGTTGAAATGAAAAACGAACCATTTACTTGATGAATAATCATGCTTAGGAAGAACATTACTTTATTCCATATTCTCGAAATCACTAAATGAATTTGTGCCACTGTCTTCTAATCTTTGCGATAAGATTACACGTACACGCCACCTTAAAAATTGTAAAAATAAAACAGGAATATACCTACAACTAGTAAAAATGATAAAAAAAAAACAGATTGCATGTTGCAAGTTTGCAAATTGTATGCACTGTTTGTTTTAATGGAAAATACTGCCTTTTAAGAATGGGTTGCTCAAAATTCCGGAAGCATAAAGTGAAATACGCATCCGATGCAGAGCAAGATAGAAACTCAAATTGCGCACTCTGCTTCTCTTCTACACAATCAGTGCACATTTCAATGCTTTCTTCCAAACTTCTTGCAATATCCTTAAACTCATTTCCCTTTACGTTTGTTTTTAAATTCAAGTTTTCATTCTATCCACACAGTTGTTTTCAAGGCGAATTCTTGGCAGCGATGACAGTTTCTCCTTGAATTCTATAGCATGTTTTCGAACTTGTTATGTTTGGCTTAATAGTAATTTTCTCGTATTTATTTTTATACCAAGTGTAATTCGGTTCTAAAGTTTTTTTTTTTTTAACTAATCAAGCTCTCTATTTCCTAGATTAAGCAGAACCAGCTGTTACAATTAATTACCTTCCAAATTTCTTCCGAGTCAGAAGAACTGTAAAAATCCCTGGCAGAATGCAATGTAGATGTGTACAGATTAAGTACTCATCTCAATTATGGAATTACATTTAGGAACAGAAGCTTGTGCACTGTGCAGACAATCCTTAAACAAGTCTAATGCAAAATACAATATCAAATCAATTGTAGTTAAAGTTCGTTCATGTTTACAGATTACAACAATAAGATGCAGTCTGAAAAACAGAAATGAGTCCCATCAACAGTTCCATACTATTTGTCAAAAGTATCTATAAAGTAAACAAAAAGTAGGAAATAAAACGCCACGTAGAAACATTGTGGTGTTCAAATAAAAAGGGACAAACATCTCCGTGGTTTTCAAATGTCATACAAGAAATCCTCAAACACCTTCATATGGTCTGGCTGAAGAGCAATTGCCACAGACAAGCTTCCATCATTGGCTGAGCTTGGAATAATGAAAGATAGCCCCTCGTATGCAATTCCACCTGGTCCCATGAAAATGGGCCTCCCCCAACCAAAATCAGCATCATGGATCGGAAGCCTGGTCCAGCTAGTGATGCCAAGGTTTGGACACTTGAAAGTGTGGGCCCCACGAACCAGAGCCTTCAGATCAGGCTGCAGCTCTAGGTAATCAAGGGCTGATCTCAAATACTCATTGTCCATTCTCACCAATGCATTGTGGATTCTGCTTGCAGCATACCATGTTGGCTTTGACATGAGATCACCAGCCACAGCAATAGGCGTGGTTGTGAATATCACATTGCCGAAGTACCCTGATGGGGGTGGAGGTTGCAACCTTGACCTTCCATCAGTTGCAATGTACAACTTGGTTTCTTGATCATCAGGGAGTGCTCTTGCCCTGCACACGCTTCTCCACACGTGTCCCGCCAGCATCTCATAGGAGCTGTAGCTGACTGTGTTGCCGTCTTCTCTGGACTTGGCTTTGAGTTTGTTGAGCTGGTCACGTGTGAGTTTGAAGATAGAAACTGCTGCACTATCCGAACCTGGTTTTGTGGGTTGTGGAGTCTTCATGGCTGGTGGGGGCTTGTATTCAATGTGGTCAAAAACGGGTCGAGGTGGATCACGTGCACGAAGTATTGTTCGGTCAATGAAGGGTGGAATGGACACGTCCAAGCCACGGGCCACGTCAGACCATGTGTTGATGAAGTGAAGACCAGAGGCTCCGTCTGCTACGTGATGTTGCATGCCAACTCCCAGTGACACCCCTCCACATTTGAAATGTGTTACCTGTGAATAGTTTAAGACCAAAAATTGGTTAGGTAAAACAGTCCCTTTGTGTCTTAGTTAATTAAGTATACAGTATACACCAACCATGATAATTTTAGTTAACTTGAAAGAAAAAATACTACTCCTCATTATTTTGACAACCAAAATATAATATTTAATCAAGAACCCACCCGTGTTTATGATCATTTCTCTATGAGTTGTATCTCTTTTTCTCTTTTGAGGATGGTTTTCATGTCCTTGATTGCCTTCCTACTTGCATTCACTTTAATTTGCAAACATTTTTTTTTTCATTTTTTAGACTATTTTAATTTCAACTTTTAGCTCCAAGTAATGCTCAAAAAGGAAAAAAATAAAAATAAAAAAATCTCTTTCTCTTTACATGTCAATTAATATTGAAAAGTCCAATGATTTTATTTAATATTGAGAAGTCCCAATGATTTTCCCCTAAATACATATGTATTTAGGATATCTTAAAATATTTTACCGGATATGTGAGATAACCTCATATATCTTACTAGATATATTATTAGGATATGTCATAATCTCATTAGTAAAATGATTTTCCCCTAATTCATATGTATCTGGCGAGAAATGTTTTCCTATACAGATCTGAAATCTGAATCTTTAGTGAAAGTGAAGTATGCAATACTCAAACCAACCAACTAATTGACCTATGAAAATGTATGTCCATAATTAATTAATTATAAAGTATAAACCGCGTTGAGCTGTTGGTTACAGTTCTAGTCTTCTGGAAGGAGGTGGCAATTAAATAATAAAACCTTAATTTATACATGAAAAATTGGTCCCCAGGAAACATCAGTCAATTTTTTTTAATGAGTTCCTTATATATTAAATGATATTATAATTTTTATTTTTTTTATAAAAATTCTTTTAAATATAATTTTTTTTTATTAAACTCACACTTTATATTACTATTTTAATAATATGAAAAATAAATTTATCAATGATTCTAAATTTAAAAGATTAATTTAACAAAACATAAAAAATTAATATAATAATAATAATAATTTATTATTAGTTTCCAAAATAAAAAATAAAATATTTAATTATGACGTTGAAGTTCATTTAAATATTTTTTCTCTCTTTGTTCGAACTTTCCCCTCTTCAATAATAATAAAAATAATAATAATTAATATCTCAAACATTATATGGATATATATATATATATAATATAAAAAAATACAATTAATTTATTCAATAAAAAATGTTTTAAATGTAACATAAAAATAAATTCAAATATAATTAGTAAAATTGATGAAGATATAATTTATTTTTTATATTATTAATATTATAAAATCTCATAAATCATACATCATAAAAACAATTATTAAAAAAAACCCGAGAGTACTGCTACCTTTGGCTCTACCCTTCCCGATATACAAAGAACAAAAAACAAGTCTCACAAAAAACGTTATTATGCCCAGACTAGCTAGGAAGAAAAAGGGAAGGTTTAAGAAATTATAAGGACATAAACGACTGTGTGTTTATATGTTATTTTATAATATATATTTATACAAATGTCATTTTATAATGTATATTTTTTTTTATTTCATTTTTATTAAACTAAATAACGTAAAAAAAATCATAAAATTTGTACTTATTTTCTTTCAGATTTCCTTCCTCAATTAAACATACATGAATCGGTAGCAACAACGTTGACTGAAGTGATAACTATTATTATAAAACAAAAGTCAATGTGATTCCCATTTAAAGGAAGCGAAAGTTGATTCAAAATCGGGTAAGCATGATTATGAATAGGTGAAGAAAGAGAGAAGGAATGAACCTGTAAGACCAAGAGGGGATAGCTTTCGATCCCTTGCGAGTAATCCACGGCGGGGATAAGCTGACGGAGCTCAAGCGTGGGGGCGAAGTCGCCGAAATCGTCGATGACGGCGCCGGTGTCGGCCTCCACCAAGAGCACCCCTTGGCCGTCGCAGTCGATCTCCACGCGCCCGTCTTCGTCTCGCCGGAGCCGCCCCGCCATTGGGTAGAACGCCACCAGAACCTTGCTCAGCGCCTCCTTCAAAACCTTGCAGTCGAAAAAGTTGGTGGCGCCGTTCGCCCTGTAGAAGTACACGCTCGGCGTGTGGAAATTCGGCACCACCAGGTCCACGTTCGAGTTCCACACCACCCGCCGCGCCACCTCCTCCGCCGGCCTCACCATCGTCGACTCTTTCACCTTGATTATCATCTCCCACTACCCATCAAAATCAATACAATCTCTGTTACTTTTTTTCTTTCCCTTTCTTTACTAACTCTCTCATTATAATATATATAATAATCACTATTTCGTTTACTTACCATGAGACTAGTTACACATACGTTACGTACATGAAACAAATTACACATAACTTACGTTTGTGGAAATTTAGTAGAATTAGTCAAACATTGGAATATATTTTACAACTATATTATTTATGGAAAGCATCTTTAAAATTTTTTGATGATTAAGTTTGCTAAAAAATTTGACTAATTATTTTTAATAAAATCTCTCTTATTAATTATATTTTTCTCATTCACTATACTTAAATATGAGATGTTATTTAAAGAGGCCAAATTTAATATCACTTATTGGTAGTCAAAGATAGAAATACTTATAGTTTTCATACACAAAACAAAATTAAAACATGCATTTAGAAAGATGACTAAGTTCTTATAATAAAGGTTTTTTTCTTTTTCTCTTTTGTCACCATTCTATTACCAACTTTACTAAGGTTTTTTTCATCTCAAACTTAACTTAAGGGATCTCAACTCGGTTTAGTTTACTCATTGTAACCACTTGTTGGTTGGTTGTAATGAAGTTTTGATAATAAGCATGATGAATACATATTGGAACAAAAAATAGCTTGTGATGAAGTTTACGATGAATATTGAAACAAAAATTGAAATGTGTTGAGGAAAGAGGAAAGAAAGATTACCAGACGAGAAGAGAGGAATTGAGAAAGTTTGGAAGATGTTGTGTGGGTAGGGAATGGGTGTGAGAGAGAGTGCGGTGTTGCGGTGTGGTTTGGGATTGGTAGTTTTTAAGCAAAAGTAAGAAGGGGTTGGGTTGAGTCACTCACCAACCCCGCCAACTACGTCCACCAATAACTAAACGCCACCTCAAAGAACAAGTCATTGACCACTTTGTTTACGACTCAATTAATCATAAAACGACACCACACTCATGATATATAGAGTTGGTGAGACGGGGACATGCCCTTTCAATTTCCTTTGTTTTTTTAACAAATACCCATAATAAAAAGCAACCTCAATTTAAAGGCATTCATTTCCCCAACTTTTTCTCCTATTTCTGACTGTCCAAATTACATCTCAAAAGACAATCTTAAAAATGCAGGAAAACGGATTTATTAATAAATAAAAAAAAGGAAAGCAAATATTTATAGTTGGCGGTGCTATTCACTCACCAACTCTTATCCTCTAGAAACCGAATTGGGTTTGTTTGGTGGGTCCGGGTAAATGTGCGTGCAACTCAAGTGGGGTAGGGTTGACAAAGTGTGACTAGGGTGATGGAGGGGTTTCATAATATGCATTGAGTTCTGACGTTGGGGAATCGCGACCATGACACATCAAACAAAACCATTTGGAAAAACCTCGTTTTAATGCTTTTCCCATCGGTTCCACCTACTCGTATGTAGTAATACCTGCTGTTTTTGTGTTCCCGAATATTGATCGTGGTTAAAAGTGATTATGTAAGAAAGATTTTTATTTGGATATTGTTGAGTATGCGTTGATGGGTTCTTTTTAATCAAATTTAAGCAATTATTAAAAGCAGTTTATGAAAAAGAATGTTTTGTTTATCTATAATAATAGAGGCGATGGTGTTTCTGAAAGGAAATATTCCAATACTAAAGTTAATGAGAGTTTAAACAAAGTCATTATAAATGGGTTGGTTATTTGCTATTTATATGCATTGAATCATTATAAAATGGGTGGAGTTCATTCTAATAATGTAATGGGATAGACTACCTTTAATTATGATTGATGGTTCTAAAGACAATTAATTTGTTCTACATCATGCTAACATCTGGTCTAATTTCATTCGCGCAAGCCTACTTTATATTTCTAGCTTATTTTAATACTCTTAAAATATGTTGGAATATACACTTGTAGGTAGGTTATAAACTAAAAAACGTGCGACATAAAACCTTTTTCAATTTTCAAACATTACAATAATAATCACCATGTTGGTCATGTAATTACGTTTAACCACTCTATGTAGACCCCTAAAATTGTCCGGGTCGGAAATAAGTTTAATACATATTGTACTAGTATACACCCTCTCGGTCAGAATATAGGCCGAATAGGCCGCCCGAACCGACAAAGCACACATCATGACACCCCTTCGGTTTGGGACTTGGCCGAATACACCAAAGGAGTAGCCCAAGGCTCACCTCGACAAGTGAAGATGAATAAACACCCACTCAGCTTTGGGCAAGGACGAACACCCATTAGGCTCTAGGCTGGGCCGAATACACCCTTTCGGTCAGAATATAGGCCGAATAGGCCGCCCGAACCGACAAAGCACACATCATGACACCCCTTCAGTTTGGGACTTGGCCGAATACACCAAAGGAGTAGCCCAAGGCTCACCTCGACAAGTGAAGATGAATAAACACCCTCTCAGCTTTGGGCAAGGACGAACACCCATTCGGCTCTAGGCTGGGCCGAGCACCCATTCGGCTCTAGGCTAGGCCGAATATCTTTTCAGCTACAATCATGACCCAATATCCACCCAACCCCAAAGAGGAACTAGCTACAGGAAGATTGAATAAGACTTCCAAAATACCCTTCGGCTTCGAGCTCGACCGAATAACCCTTCGACTTCAAGCTTGACCGAAGGAAGGAACAACCAAGTACCTCGGTCGTAGGCCCAGCCGAAGACCTCTTCGACTTTGGTTTTGGCCGAATACCTCTTCGGCCTCGGTTTTGGCCGAATACCCTTTCGGCTTTGGTTTTGGTCGAATACCCCTTAGGCCTTGAACCTGGTCGAGGACACTTCAGAAGGACAGTTCATGTTATTAGCAAGGTAGATTAAGGTACCCAATAAGCAACGTTTGTTAGTTCTAATCAACAGAGATTAACGTTAATTAAGATCATTACCCATCTCCCAACACAGAAGGCCCACCAGGCCCAAACATGTCACTATAAATACACAGGTGATGGGACATAAATGAGGTACGCTATTATCCAATAAAAAAGCACTTATTGCTCTATACCGAATACTTACTTGATCGTTGGAGTGCCTTTGCAGGTACCCTCCCCACCCCTCGGAGACGGTATTCGGTCGGCACCGAAGACTTAGAAGACCAAGAAAGAGAAAGAGCGACAAGAGGAACAAGAAGAGTGTTTCTACGCAGAAACACATACCTTTGTGAAGCAACCTCTAATCATATTAACTGTATTAAGGTCCACTTTTAATGGCTTCCCTATTGTTGATATTATGGTCAACAATACACTTTCATCATAATACATCATATTCAAGTTTGGAAAATTGATCCATACAAGCATTTTATCAATAGTATCCTCCGTTACGAAAAATCCGGTGATCAGGGCCCAACCTTAAGATAATGATAAAAAAAATTATCCATGATCCCTATTGATCGCCTTATATTTATCTTCTTCTAGGTTAAAGCTCACCAGAAAATAGCCATTGTTCATGTCCATGATTTCAAACCCGCCAACAAGTTTCCATAAGCCTTTTAATTTTTCACGTAACATAAAAAACCCCAGGTGGTTGCTTAGAAGTTTCACCACTTAACACTCTTATTGACACAACTATTTTAAAGTGACATCTTTGATCGTAAACTTCAGGAGTAGTCTATACCTTCTTTCCATTTGGTGCTCATCTCCTTTCCTTTAAGAGGTTTCAAACACTTTTCTTTTTGTGTTATTTTACCCATCACTTTGCCCTTAAACATTGTCGTGTGTTCAAAACCTACTCTTGGCCCATCTGGTGGTTTAGGAGGTGGTTCTCTGCATATGCCATGTAGAGAAATTTTCACCTGAATGCTAGCCAGTGTTTCACTTCAATATAAACTTCTCCTTTATTCATTTTTTTATTTATTATTTAAATTTTTATTTTTTTAAAATAAATTATCAATTATTAAAAATAATCTTATATCACAATATAAATTATTTATATGAAATATAAATATAATATCAATATTTAAAAATATCTTTATATACAAATTTAAAATATAATTTATATATTTATTATAGTATTTATTTGTACATATACTATTTTTATTTATAAAATTTAGTTATAC